TATATTCTTATATTTGCATTTTTATAAATGTATTTGATAATATTTTTTGTAGTCTGTTCTTAAAATTTTACTTGTGTTTTTCCTTTTTCAAAAGTCTTATACCAGTTTTATTTAGCTAAATCTGTTGATGCTTTTCCTTTGTGGATTTACAATTTTGTTCCGTTTACTTAGGAAAGACTATTTATTAACCTTATCCTCAGTTGAGAATTGTTATGCTATGCTGTTATTTATCTAAGTATCTGTCTCTGTTACTTCAGTGGGTACTCTGAAGGAAAGTCTCCCTGAAGTGTCTTAAATTGTATGTAATATTTTAGGGATCACCTATCTTACTGGAGGAACAAAATTAATGTAAGGAATATATCATATCTTTTTTTTTCTTTGTGAAATGTTTAGTTATTTTGCTGCTTTGTGACATCAGCAACTTGAATCTAATTTTTTATTTGCTCTTTGCTGTGCTGTTTTTGATTATTATGTCTTTATTTTCTTTTTTCCTTTAAGTCTTTAATAAAGCTTGAAAAATTAAGTGGACTTAAGCCCACTAAATAAGTTTGCAAATTTATTTAGTTTACAAACTGATTTTTAAGATTTTTATTATGTTATATGATTACTTCTAATTATTATCAGAGTAATTTTTGAATGTAACTTTGTGGAAATGAATTCTAAAGCTTCATTAAAAATAGATAACACACACACAAAAATAGAACCACATTACCTGTATTATCTTTTATTACTGGTTAGGTTTTATTTAAAGGAGTAGAAATGATTTGCCATTTAGTTGATTTGTTATCCTTATTCATCATCATAAACCTGTGTGAAAACTTGATGATGCTTCTTTGTGGAATTCTTTTTTAAATTTTGAAATATTTGTTAACCTATTTAAAAATAAAACTAAGCCCACTATTAAATAAAATTTTTATGAAAATAACTTCATTTCTTAAAACAAAAATTGATGAGAAGAATGGCATAGTTTTTTACATGTGTGTAAATCTCTGTTAGCTTCTATATTCCTTCTCTGGGATATAGTGTTTTGGTTAAAGGATA